TCCAATCGTTTATCAATAGCTCCCCTCACATCTCCTACTTCTTCATCTACTCCTGCCGACTGCACTTTCTGCACTTTAATTTCCTCAATCACATCCATCACTGCAGGCTCTGCATCGGGCATCAAAGCATCCAGGCTTCTTGGCTTCTCCTCTACTACTTCCTCTTCTTCACTCACCAACTTCCACTTGTCTCCACCGTCCTCCTCTTTCACTTCCAATCTTCTCACCAATACCCAAGATGTCTGTGCTCCGATATGCCTCCTCTCAGCCATCACTGCCTCCTCGCTTGGCAAGCTGGACGACATTGACCGCCGTCTATCTGACAATTTTGACTCCTCTTCCATAGCCCTTGTTCTGGCCTTCGGGACTTCGAGTTCAAAGAACTTCTGAACACCCGTAGACATTATGCCGGCTGTCATACTGCCCACATTCCACACTTCAATTGGCGGTGGACACACACTCACCTCCTGCTCCCTCATCTGCACTCCCAAACTCTTGACTGATGTCGATTTCTCCAAAACTCTCTTCTCACCCACTTCCTCATTTGCCTCTTCCAAACTCTCCACCGAAGCTCCCCCTGACCTCTTTAATAGGGCTGCACACTCGATATTCTCCCAGTCACTGCTCCATCTGCTCTCTTCTGGAATATTCCACCGTACACTCGTCAACACGCCTGTATGCACCACCTTCACTGCCCTCTCTACCATTCCCTCCAAACTCTCACCTCCACCATCAATCGCCACGCTCCTCGTCTCCACTCTACCTCCACCTTCCTCTACCTCTCCAGTCACACAGACAGATGCTAGTCGCAAAACCTGCAGCTCCTTCCTCCGCCTTGACTGCTCCTCCATCCTCTCACTGTTCACAATACTGAAACTTGTCAACGAGGCCGTACTCACTAGATCCACTCTCTTCGTAATGACAGCGCCTTCTCTCAACACTCCCTTCTCCAGCCCTGACTCACTCTCCTCTCCCTTCTTCCCATCCTCCAAATCTTTCTGACTGCCTTCATCTTTACATTCTATGCTCCTCTCCGGTGGACTTCCACCTACCATTCCCTCCTCATCCTCTGACCCTCTCATGAACATCTCCTTTTGTTTCTCCTGCCCCGCCAACATCCACATTGTCATCGTCCCTCTTGCAACACATCTCGTCTCCTTACGTCTCTCCCCGCGGCCATCCTCTGCTCCAATTCCTCCTGTAAACGCGTCAACTCGCTCGGCTGCCAGCACTGCCTGCACACTTGTGCACACTAGCTCAACTCCGCTTGATCCAGCTTCGTCCAATCGTTTATCAATAGCTCCCCTCACATCTCCTACTTCTTCATCTACTCCTGCCGACTGCACTTTCTGCACTTTAATTTCCTCAATCACATCCATCACTGCAGGCTCTGCATCGGGCATCAAAGCATCCAGGCTTCTTGGCTTCTCCTCTACTACTTCCTCTTCTTCACTCACCAACTTCCACTTGTCTCCACCGTCCTCCTCTTTCACTTCCAATCTTCTCACCAATACCCAAGATGTCTGTGCTCCGATATGCCTCCTCTCAGCCATCACTGCCTTCTCGCTTGTCATTCTTGGCGTCTGTTTCCATCTTTCCTTTTTGTCTATTATTTCTCTTTCTTTTTTTTCGCGTTCAGTTTTTTGTGTTTTCACTTCGGCTGCTCTAATTTCTCTCCCGCTTTCTTTTTCCCCTCTTTTGATTTCTGTTTTTTCCTCGATTTCGCTTTTTTCGTTTTCTGTTTTATATGTACATTCTTTATTTCTTTTAACGTTTGCTCCGTGCTTTCCACAATAATTTTCAGTATATTTTTCCCTGATTATTTTACTATGCTTTTTGTATTTTTTTGAAATTTGCCACGAATTATGTTCTTGTTCTTCTTCTATCTTGTGTGTTTCTGTTTTGTTTATATTCTCGGAGGTATAATAATTCATCACTTCTTCCGATTTCCCCACCGCGTATTTTTCCTTTAACCTGTCAGTGTTTGCTCGAGTTGTATTAGTGGATTTGGCCGAGCATGGCCTTTGCGCTGCGGATTCAGTTGTCTCTGTAAGCGAGCATATATCGAACGAAATCTGCGGGTTAGCACGTGGGGAATAACAATGACGACGAGTGCAGTCACCAAACGACGGGTGAAATAATGAAATCAAATTTTCCGTGTGCAGACCATTTAGGCTGTGTAGAAGACATCGACATAAATGTACATCTGAAGGATAATAAGCGGCAGGTATACGGTAAGACTCTAATATTCTTTGGAATGATGAACGATCGTGACATAGTAAAAAATGTCTTCTAATCCAGTGGGTCAATAAATCTGCCGAAATTCTGCCCACGTTTACCCACTCCAAAGGCTGCATCGATGTGGACGATGTCATCCAGTGACCCTCGCCACTTCCACGCAATAAACCTTTCACTTTATTCTTCTCTGCCGCTTTCTTCGTCATCTCCTTCAACCTCGAATCAATCACCGTCTCCTGCACTACCTTTGCGCTGCGCCAACTTCTCCATTCCCTTGTCTCCAACAAAAACTCACTCAACGTCTGAGTGCTCGCAGTCACTGTGGCCGCCCAGGAAACTGCCAGCCCCTTGACAAAGAGATTACTCCTACCCATCGTCCCTATGGATTTCGTTGTTATAGCCCTCCTCCCTCCTTCCCCTCCTCGTACCTCCTCACCAGCACACATCGCCGTCACCTTTTGCATTATCGCTGTGTCTACATTTCCCATTCTCTTCTTGGCAACATCCTCCAACCCCGCCTCCCTCCAACTGTCCCTCTCCACCACCCAGTCGCTCATCACACTTCTTTCGCACATCACCTTCACTGGCTCCAGCATCCTTGCACCCGCATTTCCTATGCGCATCTCCGGGCCCAATAAACCTGCGGTTTGGCCGGCTCCAACATTCATCACCACCTCATTGTCAAAGCTCACATTAGTAGCCTTGTCACTGACCAAGAACTTAAACAAGTTGCACGCTTCTCCAGACTCCCAATCCCCTAACATATCCCCATTATTGACCACTTCCTTCAATTCCATTTTCGTTAACGTGCGGGTGTTCGCACTCATCCCAAGCCGTATCGATGTGGACGATGTCCTCCAGGCACCCTCGTCAGTCTTACACAAAACGCTCTTCAATTCCTTCTCCTTTGACACTTTCTTCATCATCTCCTGCAGCCTCCAGTTGATCGCCGTCTCCTCGGCTGCCCCTCCGTCGCACAAACTCCCCCAACCCTTCGTCTCCAACACAGGCTCCCTCAACGTTTGCATGCTTGTACTCACTGGGGGCGTCCAGGACACCTCCAATCCCTTGACAAGTATCTCACTCCTACTCATCGTTCCATTTCTTTTTAATTCTGTGGTCTTTCCTTCATCTATTTCTTTAAGCATCCTCTGTCCTGTTTTGGTATTTTTCCACCATACAAGCGTGTGTTTTTCCACTGTGTTTCTTCTGTCCGCTTTATTTTCACTTATTCTTAATTTTAGAAATTTAAGCAATATGCTTACCTGATGTTTTTGATTCCTTTGATATTCGTTGACTTCTGCGAATATTGCCAACTTAACATCCGCAGACTTACCTGTTCCGAGGATCTATGCCCGGCAATGTGACACTACAATTTTAAATAAACTTTTAGTACACAAATGCAAGCTCTGTTTTTTTAAATTTTTTATTTTGTTAATATGTGGTGTTTTCCCCTATTTTTTGTTATGCGTGTTGTATGTGTAATTTTTTTGCACCTCCGTGTACGTTAAACAACACTGTCCCTTGCCATGTTACGTCAACGGATTAACCGATTTTTTCATAAAAATATGCCCTTCTAACATCTCATTTTAGCTATTTTGGAACTTTAAACCAGTTTTCGCCTGCACGTCCGTCCCTGGCTCTGGTGACGCATGTAGGAATGCGTCATACTTCTTGTTGGTTATGCATCTAGGAATTCATTTTCAAAAGGCATTCCCACTTCCCGCCAGGCAATCAAGTTTCGATGTGTTGTGGAAATTTCATATCCTCCCCGGACATGACCGTTTGCTTGAACCGGTAGACATATTTGAAATTGCAGACAGAAGCCATTTTCCCCCAGCCCTATAAGTTCAACGTAAATGAAAGCGCCTAGACCTCCGGACGTGTTCCTTCAGTCACTGAGTGGTCCGAAGTTTGTACCCACTCTCAGGCGCGACTGACTGCCGACGCCGTTACGACGTTTAAAAAATAATTGGGCTGTCTCTTTTTTTTGTTCAACATAATCTGTCACAACAGGATTATCTACAGTCAGTTGTGGAATTAATTTCCAAATACATTAATTTTGTACTGCGTCATTGCACTATGTTCTTAGAAATCTTTAAGTACAATACAAACGTCTACGTCTCTTACTGACTTTATGGAACCTTGTATGATTTTAGTGCACCTTAGTGGTTTTTCTCCTTAAACACTCACTAAGCATCCTCGTCATATATCTTGTTCCGCGAATTGCTCATGTTTAATGACATTTTCACTGTTTGCACAGCTTCATATATTAACGCCCCCCCCCCGCTATCTTGACGACGTCAATATGTGGGCGCCCAATTAATCAGTCATCATTATTATAAACACATACTAACCACTGTGCAGGCTTACTTAGTCTTTCCGAGATTTATCCGTGGATATTTTTTCATTCACATTGTCAGTACTCACAAGAGTCCTCACAAGAATTATTGAAGTTATGATTATTGTTATCAGTGGTTCTCCAATGACCCGCAACGCAAACACAGACGTTCGATCGTCGTGACCAACGATGCCAACCACAGCAGGGTGAGAGCAAGCACGGTGACCTGCGCATGACTTCTTATATAATGATAATAAACTTGTTTTGCATCTGCCGCACCCTCTCCTCCTACCCCATCTGAGCCCGGTGTCAAGGCATGGTCAAGAAAACTGGAGGGAAGAGAGGGCGTAGGTAGCTAGCACGGCTGGACACGCACCTAGGTGTGCCATCACACTTCCTGGTCCATAACAAACACTTGACCGGAACTTTAACTAGCAAAAATAATAGGGGGCCGCAGGGATCCCATGTGCGCGACCTGAGCCAGCAACTGGGCCTGCCACCACACCCAAAATATTCGCATTTGTCATGGATGTGCATTTCCGATAACGCCTGCCGGCGTCCGATCTAGTCCCCGTGTTGATCGAGCGCATCTACCGTAAATTACATCATTTAAAAGCTGAACAATTCATTTAAGACTAAGAAGATGGACAAGGCTTTGAATGACGTTATTTACAGAGAGGTAAATGAAGGATAAACACCTATTTACATACTAACATATTCTGTGTTAGAGGGTTTGTGGAAACTGGGTACATATATGGTCATCAAAGAAAATCTAACAAATCAAGTTAAGATGGACTCATTGTTTTCGGCCAAGACGTGCGGGTCGGATGGTTTATTCCGCCCCTTCCCCCCCCCCAGCAGCCTATTGCTCATACCAGACTTGCATATGTCTCCTGCTAAAACCAGTATCAAGACACTCTTTGTACACCACAAAGTTTCTTAACCTATCTTGGAGAAAGACTTCGAATTCGCTTATTTCTTAGGGCTTTGGGTATCGGTAAATCTTTTGTGTCCGGCTTCCTAGGTGGGCTATGAAGAATATAATCTCCACATAAAGTCATGTTTATGTTTGTAATCTTGCGACCTGTTACGGCAACGATCGGACGAGGGCCCTCAAACACACACGACCAGCCAAAGGTGCCTGTCTTATGGGAAAGGTGGTAATATGGTATTACGGGCGGCGTCTATGTATGCATAGAGGAATGGCAAAATAAACACAGATAACAAGTAAATGTAAAAAAGTAAAAAGTAAATGAGTTTTAATTCATTGACATATAGCAACCGAAATTAATCAAGACAAATTAAAAATTAACGTTTAGTGTCTACAACGATCGGTTCACAACTCTCTGAGCTGAGGTCATTGTAGATAATGCGCCAGAACGTCTACAACAGACGACCCAACCTTGTACGATGAAACACCAAA